TCTAGCTTCTGCAGTTGGTGATCATTTGCTTTATTCTCAGTACTGTAATGTTTGATTCAGCAGTCATATTGTAAGAAGAATTAGATGCTTGATTCAGCAGTTATGTTGTAAGAAGAATTAGATGCTTGATTCAGCAGTTACGTTGTAAGAAGAATTAGATGCTTGATTCAGCAGTTATATTGTAAGAAGAATTAGATGCTTGTCAATCAGGGTTAACCAGCATTCAGTTCAGTAGATCATAGGAATAGACAATTTTATCAGTCAGAGAGTTTTAGCTTGATGTGACGCCAAATTTATCATCAATTTCTCTCGGTAACCAAACGACATAGGGTGCAATTTGGAATGAAAAAACGCGTGGAAAACTTTTTACTGCCAAAAACAAATTGTGCACTTTTTTGATCCTTTCAACTTTCAACTTTACTTTATTTAGCAACCAAGTTTTAATTACAATATTAACATAAAAAAAAAAACAGGAAAGGATACATATGTAAGAAATTAAAGGTAACAGTGTTTCATAGTTCGTGCATGGAGGCTGAGAGAACCGCGAAGTTATCGAGTCAGCCTCCATCTCTGTTAGATTCACATAGAAGAAACTGGGAGTAGAGGGACGGATTACTAAATTAAAAGCTAGAAGAATTGTGGATGACTTACTTTTGAGATAACTTGAATAGATAGATAGTTTTGGTACTTTTGATTTGTAGAAAACTTAGGTTTGATATTGCTGATATAGAATATAAGTTTTTAACACTTTTGGTGAAAGCAAGTTTATTTAGGTCTTTAAACTTGTATGGCAGTTCATGCCAAATAGCCACTGACATAACTGAGAGCAATCAATGTATCTTCAATATGACAGATACAAATCTGCAGGTGTTCTACACATGTAGGAATCATAGCTGTAGATAAAATTTTAGAGCAATTTTCAATTGTGTACTGAAAGCAATACGGAATTGCTATGGGGTTTTACTTAACTTTCCTTTGTGACTTCTTGATATTACTTTTAAGCTTCAACGTAAATGTGGATTTGATACTAACGTGACTGTTATTCCACTGTTCTTAAAAAAGATTCAATTCTCGTTGTTTTCATCAGGTGATAAGTGTAAAGGACAATGATAGTTTATCTTCCTTGCTATCAGTGGAACTGAAGGCAAATTTACTGCTGATATTATCAGATGTACAGGGCATTTATAGCGGCCCTCCCGACCTGCCTGAGTCCCGCCTTCTAGACACTTTCAGGCCAGCGGACGTCAGTAATATCGAATTTGGAGAAAAGTCACGTGTTGGCAGAGGAGGCATGGAGTCTAAAGTGAAGGTTTGTAGTTCCAGTAGTTTAAAACAAGTTTGCCAAGAGTATGAAGGGGAAACTTTAAAAAAATGACCGCCAATGAGCGAGGATTATTACAACACCAGATACTCTTAAGGGGAAGTCAGGTAAATTATATTGTTAGGCAACATTGAGATTTCTCTTCGCGAATAACGAGCTGTCATTAAAAAAACATGGTTAAAAAGCAGTCTTTTTGACAAAAAAGTACAAACGAGAAAGATACTGAATCTTGAAGTAAACTTCAAGGCAGGCAGACATTTACTGAAATTCAGCCAAATCCTTTCAATTTTGGACTATCCGTACACAACTACGTTTTTCAATTCTCTGAGTACATCTTAGTTACCGTACGGCCTACAGCACCGTTTTGAAAGCTATCCATTTAGTGGATTATTTTGAAAAATCTCCGTTTTCAATGGACAATTTATTCGGATTAGTGTGGACGCTAGGGAGAACGGTGAGAAAAAGTCACAGCACGGTGCACCTTGCTGTGTGAACGGGGCTTGGTACTAAATTTAGCATGAGTCATAAATCGTGTTGTGATTCCTTTACAATGACAAGTTTTCGTTTGAATCTTTGGGAAAGAGAGATCAAAACAGTTTGTCATGGTGTGTCTTCGTCTGCGATTTACCATCAAAGTTAAAGACTTACAGAATAACGATGAATTGTTTCAATTCTCGTAACTTCACCATTTTATTTTTACCTTCTTGTGTGATTGTTCAGGCTGCAGCCTGGGCACTAGAGAGAGGTACGAGTGTTGTTATAGCTAATGGTACCGGAAGTGATTACGTCATTCGTCAAGTTCTGGATGGCCGAAAGGTTGGAACATTCTTCACTATGGTCGACGAACCAGGGCCATCTGTAGAGAATCAGGCTGCGGCAGGTACGTCAGAATGCACCTCAGTCCATGTCATCGTCATNTAGCCTGCAGAACAGGCGTAATCTATTTGCGCTATTCAGACGAACGGAGGTGAACGCGAGGTGAGCGCGAAGTAACACGTTCCTCCCTTCGCACGCGACTTGCCGCGCCCTTCTCGCGCTTACCTCCGTTCCACCAAAAATCGTCAAGAAAATTACGTCTGTTCTGCAGGCTCGTTCGGGCCATCTCAAATCATCCAAACTTAGAGGATAAAAAAATAGACGGAATAGTTGTCGACGAGATATCTGACCAAAATGAAGCAAAATTCTCTTTGGTTTAGGGGTGGCGTTCGGTTTTCGCCAGCGTCATCTCACATTTTTTGCCAGACTTAGTTTTCGAAGCACGACTTGAGGTCGAGCTTCTCGCGCCTCGTCTATCATCTCAACATACAAACTTCACGTGTAGTACTGCAGTTTAAGCGCCTTTGTTTTTCTCTCATGTGTTTTGTCTAGCGGGCCAGAATCATTTACAAGTTAGCCGCCCTTCTTATCGAACGCAAAGATCAAATTCTAGATGCTAACTCCAAAGATCTGGAGCATGCTCGGTTTGAGGGACGCCTAAGTGCCCCTATGATGGCCAGGTTACTTTTGACACCGTCCAAACTTGAGAACCTTGCTCAGGGTCTGAGACAGATTGCGGATTCCTCGCACAACATCCTGGGTCGTGTGCTAAAACGAACCAAAATCGCTCATGGTTTAGAGCTGAAACAAGAAACTGTTCCAATTGGAGTGCTTCTCGTGATTTTTGAATCTCGCCCAGATGCTCTAGTGCAGGTACAGCTATAGTACGTTTAACTGTTTGTCATCTTAATTCCTTATAAAGTACTGTAAGATTTAGAAGTTGACTTACCTGGTGTTTAGATGTGAACATTGTTTGTTTGCTCATTGTTTGTTCGTTCGTTCGTTTTGTTTTGTTCATCTTTGCTGTTTTTTTCTTTTTTTTTTATTTTTTGGTTGCTATTTATTTTTTATTTGTTTATTTGCTTCGTGATCTAAATTAAAATTAGTACTTTGAAATTCCGCTTTCGTAAGACCCAGGGATCTTGAACCTTACACAAGGAAGACAAAAAGGAATTTTTTTTTTCTCTTGTTCTGTTTGCTCATGTCTTTGTGTGGTTATCTTTTCTTAAGCCAGATTTTTTTTCTCTAAGGTCGCCTCTTTAGCCATCAGCACAGGCAATGGTTTGCTTCTCAAGGGCGGTAAAGAAGCTTATCACAGCAACAGATGTCTTCACAGTCTTGTTGCAGAGGCTTTGTCGATGTACGTTCCCCCGGAAGCTGTTAGTTTGGTAAGTTTTTTGACAGTGCTTAGGCTGACCAGCTGACAATAATCTAACATCCTTGTTCTTTTACAATTTTAGACTCTCATTTGTAGAGAGAATCAAATAATTTCGAGAGGAGTTTGGAATAAACTGGCAGCAGTAACTTTTTTCCGAAGGATTAAGACATTAAACGAGCCCCTGTGATAAATACAGTTTGAATCTCCAAAATAAACTTTTCTTATATCAATTTTCTGCTCTCAATTTAAACCTTCTATTGACTTCCACTGACTGACTTGCTCACAGCCATTGACTTTGATTCAAAGTTTCGCTGCCTTGCAATTCACTTCCCACACTGAATGTGGACTAATTAGGTTTCAGTATGCCTTTATGCTCTCAATAATTACTCTGAGATGAGCCTCGACACTCTTTCGCCTTCCAAAGTAGGCAAAGTGGGTACTCTATACCAGAAGTTCTTTCAGACCGCTTTTCGATTGGGTGTCGTAAAAACAAAACTCGAGTAATGACAAGGAGCCAATGACGGCTCAAAGAAGAAAAAGCAAACGGCTGAGTGACCATCTCGCCTCTGGTTTTAGTTTTGGATCTGATTGGTCGAGGAAGTGGTGCGAGTTTTCTGGACCAATGAGAAGACGCGGTAAATTAAACCCGGATAAAAGCAATTCCGAATTTCTTTTAACACGCAAGTGGAAATTTCTCTACTAAATGAAGCGCGATGGTACGAAGAGCGTTGAACTGGGAAGATTTGGCGTGTACCCTTCCCAAACCTCTTTTCCCCTATTCACTGGCGATCATTTCTCATAGAAACCGTGTTACAGATCTGTGATCAAACTCTGTGAGCCGATCACACCCGTGTCAGTCCTGTAGTCTTTATATACTGACTCTGTAAATGCTATTCTTAATGGTAGGTCAGTACTCGAGAAGAGGTAAATGATCTTCTTCAGTTGGACAAATATCTGGATTTAATCATCCCTCGAGGCTCCAGCGAGATGATTGAGCGCATTCAAACAGAGAGCAAAGGAATTCCTGTTCTTGGGCATGCTGAGGGAATTTGCCACGTGTATGTCGACAAAGATGCAGATCTTGAAATGGCCACAAAGATTGGTAGGGATTATGTAACTCATTAATGTACCTCATGCTTGGTGAAGGAAGCGCTTCTTTGCTGATTTTGCTCAATTTTTTTTAATGGGAAGTCGTAATAACCCTCCATTGCTTTTGTTTTGCTTAATTTCGTCTTGTGGTTGGTCTAGCAAACGTGCAGCATTCTCCCGACTACTCA